CTGCAACACAGGGAGAGCGACTGTCAAATGACGAAAATGATCTCATTAAACAACCTTGATAAAGTGGAAATAAGCAGGACGCACAGGAGAGGAGTGTATCATAATGTGTTTTCTCTATTACACAGGTTTCGCAAGTGCATGCCAGTTAGGTTGACCTTAGCATGCAAGATCAACTTGAAGGCAGTGCCGTAGAAAAGCAGAAATCATATAATGATTATGGACTCTTCTTTATGCATGCATGCTGAGTTAATATAGACAAAATTCGTCCCTCCTTCTCATTCTCCTCCTTTCTTTTCCCTTTTCTCTATTCCCTTTCCTTACCCTTCTTACTCCTCCCCTCTTTCTCTATCCACTTTTTTGCAATACTCTTTCCATTTCCTTCCCCTGCATCTCTTCTCCACTGCCTTGCTCCCCTTCCCTCTTCCTCCCCCTCCCTCTCCACCCCGCGACTATAAAATTTCCGCGAGCGTCCTTGAGCAAGGACAGGGAGATCAATGGCGAAGAAAAGCACGTCGCCGCCGGGGAGGAGACGCCGTGCTTGCAGGGGGCTGGTCAAAGGGCGTTCCTACCGCACATCGCTGACCCGTCGAGGTGGAACAAGTAGCAACAGCCAGCAGCAGAATCTATGTTATTGTTGTGATGTTGTTTGCTTTTATTGTTGTTGTTGATAATATACTAATACTGCTGTTGTTTGCTGTTGCTGTTGTTATTCTTATGGTTGCTCTTCTGACTGTTTTCTCATTCTGAGCATCGTTCATGCTGTTGTTGATACTATTGCTGTATTTGTTGTTATTGTTGTAATGATTTATTTTTCTGTTTTGTTGTCATGTTGATGTTTGCTGTTGTAATAGATATGATGATATTGTTATCGTTCTGATGTTATTGGTTATTGTTATTGTTGATGTTGTAGTTGTCTTAAGGTTATACTGATTGCTGTTGTTCCTGCTGTCTTTTTCTTTCGTTTATCAATATCTCAGTGCTACTCAGAATTATAAATCCTTTTTTCTATTGCCATTTCTTGTGCTTCCTTACCTTGACCTTATTTTATTTGCATCTCTGATTTTCCATTTTCGTCTCGAAATAATGCCCGCGCCTTGCCTTTCCAAACAATAAATGTAAAATATTAATCATTTAAAGTATTTAATAAAATCAAGTCACTATCATCATTTTCGTTATTTTTTAATAAAGACGCAATCATTTTCAACACTGTTATTGTGACACATTTACTGACATCCTTTCCCTCTTTCTTCAGACACACCGATTCATTTTCTTTGAAGCTTTTCCCTCCGGTTCAAGGCTGATCCATATTTTTTAAGGTTTCCGCATGGCCTTTGCATAACAGCCTCTGTAATCACAAACCTTTGGCAGTGGCGTGAACAGATCAGCCTGGAGTGTCCTTCTCCAAACTTTTTGTTCCTTTTTCTGCCCTTAAATACACATATAATCCTGTAACAGCTGACATAAGAAGTTAACTGCCGCGCCTGTACTCGGACAAGGCCATACAAAGCCGTGGCGGCTATAAATACACTGTATCGTAGAGGTTTCCCTTGAGCGCCGCCAAGCCAAGCCAAGATATCCCTTGATCCATAATCTTCAGCGTTGTCAAGGTCTCTCTGCCACCTGAAGACTTAATACCTCCCTGGCGAATGTTCAGAGAGGACCAACGATACTCCCTTGGTTTGGGGCATTCAGCCCTATTCCCTGACACACTTTTTTCAACAACTGACCTCGTTTATTCGTTTCACTTCAACGTTCTACAGTATCTACTAGTCACTCGTCCTAGCAACAGATTCTACGCCCTTTTTTACTAAGCTGAAATCTGCTCGCTACAGCCATTTAAAATTAGATTAACCACTACACTATGGCAACTGCAGGATACTTTCCCACCCATAGGATGTCCCCTGGAAAGGACTCACCCGGGGCAGTCTGGAGTTCGTCCTCCACGCAATAAAGCTAATAAAGTCGGTGTGCTTGGCGGCGTGGGCGGCCTGCGGCAGCCAGGAGGGGGCCCGTGCGGCCGACGGCCTCGGCGACCTGCCTTCCATCACCTCCATCATTCTCTCCGTTTTTCCCTCGAGGGTTTTATCCTCCCTCTTCGCACTCCCTACTTCTGGTTCATGAGACGCACGTGCGGGCTTCAGCCTCGAGCCATTTGTCAACCGCTGGCCCAATATCCTGTTGCCGGTCTGTCGCAAGTTGAATCAAAAGACGAAGGTAAAAAGGGGGCGGTAGAGCAGCTGCATGGGCGTGCAGCTCAGGTTCTGGATCCTGCGGGAGGTGTAAGCAACCGGGGGGGAGCGGGGGGGGGGGCAGAAGGGGCCTTGGCTCGACCCGAGGACGGACACCTCGACCTAGCACCTCGAGATGCTGCCTTGGCCGAGCGAGACGAGCGGCAAGACCAAGGCAGCGCGAGGAACGACCGCATTGCAACTTTGCTGATAAAAGCCAGCAGCGAGGCAAGCCTCGTCAGTCTGGGAAAGAACTGCGCTGCAACTATTAACGTCAAGCACCTGGACCACAGCAGCAAAGTTAAGGCGAGCTTGCAAAACCAGCGCGACTGCAAGAACCAAAAACAATAGCAAAAAAGAAAAAAGGAAACAAGAGCTTAGCGGTCAACAAAGCCATAAACACAAGCATCAACTGGGAGTCTAAATTTGGTCAAGCAAAAAGAGACTGAAGCAGCAGAACATTGCGGGAAAATCCGAGGTCTGTTGGACATTGGATGTAAGATTTCCCTCCCGAGTTATCCATTCGAAAGCAATGAGCAAGGGAACGCCGTGGTGAATGAGAGATCACAAACCCGAGGCAGAAAGGAATGAGGTAAACTAAACAGAAAGAAAAAGGACGACGATAATACGGAAATGTAGACAGCATACGAGAAACAGGCGAAGCAGATTTTTACGGGTAAAGGGAACAGACAGAAGCTTTGGGTAAAACACATCAAAAGCTGAATTAATTAAGAGATATATCGCCCGAGGACGTCACGCCACTACGAGCTGTGTTGCACGTACTGTCACTTCGAGAACCTGAACAGAACTGGCTGTTTAACCTCTCTGGCTTCGTATGTCATCCTCACACTTACTGTACATCAGGTGCGCTCCCCAGCCCTCTCTCTTTGGTCGTTTATTTTATCTTGTCCCGCCTTTCTTGTCTCTACTTTTCACTACTTTTCACGTTTTCATTTACCCATTTCTATTCTTATTTCCTTTCTTTTATCTTGCTTTTCTTTCACTATCATCCTCACAAGAAAACATAGACCAGAGACTGCAAAGCTTAGGCGGGAATCTGCAGCAGCGGCGGCGATCCACTTTTGCTGTTAACACAAATTCACCGGGTGACGATGCCTTGAGCGTTGCCTTTATGTGTGTGTGTGTGGGTGGGGGGGGGGGGGGCGGGATGTGCGTGCGTATACGTACAAGGTCTATACGAGTCTATACTTACATAGAAAATGTGTGGGTAGACGTCTACGTGTGCAAACTGTCTGCGTGTGTAGAGTGATGGCAGCGAATGAGCGAGGGCAATTAAGCGTTCCTTCGAGCGGGCTCCCCTTCCTCTTCCCCTTTCATCCCCTCACGAGCCATAATTGTGAGACCAAGATCTCGCCCGCACGAAGAGGTCCCGTTAATGGGTTAATGGCCCAATGGCTCTCATTGCGGCGTGCCTGGCGGGCGCCGTCCACGCTCCGCTATTATCTCCATCTGATAACCGCAGTTCTCTCTTCCTTTGCTCTCCCTCCTTCCGCATGTGTGGCAAGGAAGGCAAACTATCTGAAAACTTCGCGCATGGAACTGCAATATAAAGAGACGGGTCCAGATCTTCAAACGAACCGCGTGAATCGTCTCGATGCCCAACAACCCTCGGGACTTGAAGACGCATGCGCAGGAGTCACGGTGAGCGCGCGACACGTACATGTGAGTAAGCATGAACCGAACAAGAAAAAAATCAAAATCTCATACAAATACCGTTGCTCTAAAGGCCAGGATCTCCCACAACCAAGCCGGACAATCAGCCTAAAGCATCCCAATCGCTGGCGTTTTCTCCTTCGGCGGCAGAGCGATCGCGCCGACCTGCCTTCTGCCCTCCTGAGATCTCGGTAAAAAATAAACTTGTAGGACACCTAAAACCGCGCGTAAAGAAGCATCAGCGAAAGTTTAGACTCCTAAAAAAGGAGAAAAATAACGGCGTGCCCGCCGACGCGCGAGCGAGCCGCCCGCAGCCACGGCCGGGCGCCTGGCTACTTCTGCTCGTTATCGTTCTCTTTCTCTTTTTCTCTTCCGGTCCATTCATCTTTCTCGCTCTCTTCCTTTTCCTCTCGCTAGGTCAAAGTCAAAGTTCTCCCTCTCCCTCTCCCTCAATCGGATCCAAGGGTAGAGTCTCTGGATACTGACAAATATTTTAGAACATTTAACCATATAATCATGCAAAGTTATCCAATAACTTCTACACGAATAAAAAGTGAAAGTGGTGAAAGTTTATCTCTATTTCACGTATATTTTTTCTTGCACCCAACCATCTTCAGATTCTGAAAATGGCGTTCTCCTTATCTCTTTCTCTTCTCTTTTCCCTCCGTCTCCCTTCTCTTCTCTAGTTTACTTAAGACCTTTCATTCGTTTTTCTTTTTGAGATACTAATTCCGTTAACGAGTAATTTGCACCAAGTGATAAAGACAAGCTTTTTTTAAGTTCATGATGCCGACGCCAAACACAAGTCACAGTCTCCCGGGCGTGTGACCTGACACGCGAGATTTCAAACGGAGCTGAATTTCATTTGTGTGCGAGTACAAGTACGCCATTTTATGGACGGAGCTTGATTTCTATTCGAGTAACGCATTACCACGCTTTACGTAAATGAAGTTTGGTTTATGTACGATTAATGGAATATGGTATTTAAGCCTATTTAGGCCTCGTTCGTTGCTTATTCATCTCTACTTTAATGTATTTTTTTCTCTTTTTCTTTTTATGATCTATGTCTCCGTCATTCACCAAGGGGGAGTTGCCGCC